ACAAGGCAATGTGTTAGTCACTTTGTTTAATGGCTACTACCAGGCTCTGTGCAGGAGCACACCTCCGCATGCATGGTGAACTCCTGACAGTAAAGACATTGAAGGAGGGGCTGCCATTCTGATAAACTCTTGTATTTGCCCAAATCTAAGATTTCTTACTCCAAAGCACAGCAAGCACTGAACAAATGCAAGACAGCAGAGCTGGGGGTATAACTCAGTGGTAGAATGTGTGCTTAGCATGCACAAGGCCTAGGGTTCAATGCCAGAAACACATGCATGGACGCATGCAAGACAAGGGTTTGCCTTCACCCCTTTCCCACTTCATATATTCCTTCGTTCTTGTCTTCTACCCCTGTACCCTCCATGGAGACACAGCAGTTGTTTTCATTCAGGCTGCTATAAGAAAATACCACAAACTAAGTGGCTAAAACAACAGAAATTTGTTTCTGGAAAGACCAAAATTAAGATGCCACCAGAGTTGGTACTGGTGAGGACTCTGTCCTTGGGTGGCAGATGGTGACCTTCTCATGATCTTCACATGGCCTTTTATTTGTTGTCAAGTGGGAAAAACCTCTCCCTTTTCCTTCTTCTTTTCATAAGGCCACTAATCCTATCCTGAGGACCCCACCTTCATGACATAATCTAGATCTCATTAGACCTCCCCATGCCCATTTATCATCACATTGAACACTAGAGTGTCAACATATTAACTTTTAAGGCAAACATTCATTCCATCCCACCCCTGGTATTCAAAATTCATTATCTTTCTTGCATGCAAAATATATTCATTCCATTCTAAAAACCTCGAAAGTCTTAACTCATTCCAGCATCAACCCTAAAGTCTGAAGTTTCATCTTTATCATCTAAATCAAATGTGCAGAAGACTTGAGGTATGATTCATCCCGAGGCAAAATTTCTCTCCAGCTGTGACCAGTCAAGTTATGTGCTCCCTAAAAACAAGAACATGATAGGCTTGAGATAAATGTTCCCATTGCAAGAGAGAGAAACAAGAATGAAGGGTGGCAGGTCACAAGGAAGTCTAAATGGTGAATTCCATCATATCTTAGTGCCCAACAATAATAATTTTTGGTGCAATGCTTTGTTTTCCAAACCCATGGGGTAGAAGTCTCACCTTCAGGACCCATGGAGGGGTTATGCAACCATGGCTCTGGGAAGTACTGCCTCCAAGGCTCTACAGTGAAAACCCGACCCTGGGGCACTGCAAAGTTCTGTCAGGCATTCTGAAACTAGAAATGTGACCATATCCCCTGCAATGAAGGAGGAAATATCCTAGCTCCTGGGGCTGTGATGAGAGAGGCAGTGCTCCTGACTGCTTATAGAAAAATGTGAAGCAAGGGATGAACTGAAAAAAGAATTCAGGAATTGAGCAGAAAGTACTAGAGACCCCCGAAATGTTAGCAGAAACCTCTGCAATAAGCTCCAATCTCCTCCCCAGTGTAGGATGCAGGCCTGAGGAAAAAAAACTGAAAGACAGGACTGAGAGAGAAATTGAGGGACCAGGGAGACCAATGCCAGTGCAACTGATGAAGGCGCTGGCAAGTCGAAGCCACTGATTTTTACTGGTAATCAATTGAAGTAAAGGTGAGCTACACGCAAGGGCAGTACTTGTGCGAGGAAGTACAGTCATGCAGTTTCTATGCAAATTAATGTAAGCAAGGCTCCTAAAAGACAAGACAAAAGCATTCTTGGATTAGGAACAGAATAGGCAAAATATATGGTTGTAATTAGAACACTGTCCTTCTAGTAAGAAGGGTTTAGTTGTGGGAACAGAATTAGGGTGCAAATTACTCTGACCGCAGCATGTAGGCTTCAGCTGGATTCACTTCTATAAACAAGCCAATTGTGGGGTTGACTCTTTACAGCCTACACTGCTTACAGCCTGCTTTGGGCATAATTAACATTGCCATCTCCTGTGAGAAAGAACCCCAAACTTAAGATTTGGAAAATTATCAGCCTAAGCTTATTGCAAAAATAAAAGAGAGAGAGAGAAGCGTGTTTTGAAGGGAACACTAATGTTATGGGGGCACTATCACTTGATAATGAATTTATGGGATTATATGAGCAGAACTGAAGGAGAGGAATATGGGATGAAATAAAGGAAGGCTTCTGGAATAGTTGAATTCTACAAGACAGGACCATAGAGTCATTTGGCTACAACTGTGTGATATTCTTAGGAAGAATAACTCTATAAACAGTCAAAAGGAGCCAAGATGTTCCTTCAACACTTTGCTTAGAAATAGCTTCTACTAAATATTCAATTTTATTGCTCACACATTCTGTCTTCCATTAAACACAAGAACATAGTTCAACCCATTTCTAGGCCATTTTTTAACAAACATCATCTTCCCGCCGGTTTCTAATAACATTTATTTCTGGGCAAGATCTCACCAGAATCTTCCTTAATATCTATATTTCTAGAACGTACTTCAAACCCTTTCAGCTTTTCTATTCAATATCCAATTCCAAAACAGTTGCCATGTTTTTAGGCACTCTTTACAGCAGCATCTCATTTTTTGGTAGCAAAATCTATCTCAGCCTGTGTTATCCAGAGAAATAGAACCAAGAGGAGATAAATGTAGATATAGATATAAATGACATATATGAGATATAAATTATACAGAGATTTTTAATTTATTATAAGGAATTGGCTTGTGCAATTATGAAGGCTAGAAAATTACAATTTTTGCTTTTGGCAAGCTGGAGACCAGGAGAGCCAATGGTCTAAGTCCAAAGATCCGAGAACCAGGAAAGTCAATATTGTAATTTCTAGTCTGACTCTGAGACAAAAAAGCAGATCAATATTCTAGGTCAAAGAAAAGCAAACCAAAAGAATTCTTTCTCACTCAATTGTTTTGTTCTGTTCAAGCCTTCAGCAAATTGAATGAGGCTCACCTAACTGGAAAAGGCAATCTGCTGTACTTAGTCTACTGACTCATGTTAATATCATTAAGAAGCACCTTCACAGATGCACCCACAAACAATATTTATCCAAATGTATGAGCACCCTAAGGTTCAGTCAAGTTGACACAAGGTTAACCATGACAACAAGTCAGACTACCCTGGCCTGCCTTCTTCCTTCTCCGTCCTTTCCTCAAATGTGCAACCCCAGCTTTGCCCATCCATCACAACTTTCTGACTCTGTCCAATAACTAGGATCTGGCTAAGAAACCCCTTAATTGCTCTAAAAATTACTACTAAGATACTGATGAATGTAATAGTTACTTTCCCTGTTTGCTTTTCACCTATGCTTTACCTAGGTATAAAAAAAATTACTGTGGTAAAATACACATAGAATAAAGTTTACCGTTTTAATCATTCTGAAGTATACAATTCAGAGGGATTAAGTATCCTTAGGGTGTTATGCAAGCATCACCACTATCTAGTTTCAGAATTCTTTTATCACCCCAAAGATATCCCATACCTAGTAAGTAATCACTCCCCACCTCCCCTTCCCTAGTCCCTGGCAACCACTAATCTAATATCTGTCTCTATAGATTACCCTATTCTTGATATTTTAGATAAAAGGAATCATATAAGATGTGACGTTTCATGTCTGTCTTCCTTCATTTCACTTAACTAAGGAATAATTTTAGCTTCTTTAGCTAGACAAGATTAAAAAAAAATAGCAAGTCAGATATATGTTGGGGCATAAAGATATGGAGGTTGTCTCCACAACCTCATCAACTTTCTAGTTCAGTTCTACCAAGATTTGGGGAACTCATCTGTTTAATCTGTTGTTCTTGTATCTGTGCTATTAACTTTTCCCATGGAGATTTCAGACAGCCTGATTGCAAGTAGGCACTGGGCCAGGACAGAGAATGGAAGGACCCTTCGGGGGGCCCATTCTATTCATCAGGGAAGCCCGCTTCCCTGACAGTGACCTGGTGAGACCAGGGTGGTCACAAGGTCGTACAGCCCTGAGGGGCCCAATTTATCCCCAGCACTCAATAAAAATAAAAGCAAGCACATTTCTGCCAGCAATGTAAATTATTCATAAGGTTTATTTTAAAAGGGAGACAGATTTATATAAAAATAACAAAAAAGGAGCACAAATCAGTTTCTAAAATTTTTGGATTCAAGTGTGTCAAAGATACTGCATTCACGGTTTGCACAGCCGCAGCTGCTGAGTTTTCAAACAGACCCGTGTTTGCTCAGATACTGCTTGACACAATGTGGATAATTTGATAAGTGGGACTTACGAAGGGATGCCCAGCAGAGACGCCAAGTCTACTCCAAATTTTGTGGGAAAGGAGCTGGTTGGCCACCCCCCAGGCTGCAGGGTCTGAGAAAAACATGCCCCTACAGCACAGGGTCCTTCAGAGCAGCTTTAAACACTGAAAACCAGGAGGCCCAGTGAAGGGTTTCCGTCTGTGTCACCGGTTTTATTTGCTGCAGACTCCCACATTTATTTGGTTGAACAAAGGCCCCTAGACAAATGCCCTTTTCTTCCTCTTAGCTCTTCTTTTTTAAACCAATCACTCTTTTTTATTAATAACTACATACAAATACATTATAAATATTTTTAACCTTTATTTCCATCCTGTTACTATTTATGTTTGCTAAGATCAAAGTCTGAATGTATCCTCAAGTTTGAATTGTTTTCCTGCTTCTATTTCAAAATATGGACCACACGGTCTTTATAATTTTATTCTATGATGACTCGCTTAGATTTAATGATATATACAAGCACTGCAGTAACTTGCTAAGTAAATCCATGTGATGATGAAAGAACATCACAGGCCTGATCTGGGTACAAAGGCCTTTGTATTGTTTTCCTTTTCATTTCAGAAGAGTCTGTAACTGAATACAGCGTTTTCTGATTTAAAATTCACAATGATTCCTTTTTAAATGATAACATTTGTCTTTTTATGAGGTCTTTCAGCTTAAAAGTATTCTTATTTCACTCCATAAACATTTACATCCAAAAGACATGGCTACAAGGTAAAGTTACCGGTTTTGAACAAGCAGATGGAATTTACCCTCACATATGAATGTTGTTCCATCGAAGCAGGTAGTAACATTCCAAGGATTTTCAACAGTTCTGGAACTCCAGTTAGGAACTGCTTTTTCTTCACACATTGAAGGAATTCGCTCTGACTTTCCTAATTGCTAAAAAAATAAAATAAAATAAAAACCTTTTTCTCACCAGGATAAGTTTCATTTGGGGAAACAGTCAAGCTTCTTCATAACTGCTATGTGATAACCTACTGTATACAACTGCTCTTATCCTAAATAAGGTGATTACAACATAATGAGATCCACTTTTTCTTTAATATTCCTTAATTAATCGTAAGAGTAATTCCAAAAGAAGTTCCTAAAAGGTTTACAACAATAGCCATATTGTTGAAAGAAATATCTAAACTTCCAAAGCAACTATCTGAAAAGAGCAGATATTTGAATGTACGGTTTTTTTTTTAAAAAAAAAGCTATCTCACCTTGTTTGATCTTCACAGTTTGTGTTCCTGGTGGCTAGCTAAGGGGACCTAGCTATTTTCAGCTTGGTACAGTATCAAATTTTATCTAACAATTCCAATTTTGAAATGAATAGGACATATAAAACCTAAAATACCAAAAATTACTTGAAACAGTCAAACGGATATACAATCTGGAAATTAATGCACATTCTATGCACAATTGCTAAACATAGGTATACATGTAAATATATACACATTTATAATAAATATATAAACATTCATTATGATAAGTGAATGCCAAATATGCAGGCAAATATTAAGAAAACATTAAAATACCAGCCAACCACCCAGAATTTATACTTTTGGTTTCAGATGCTTGTTTCCAACATTAATTTAAGTATATACCTATCACTGAGTTGCAAGATTGGCATAATGGGACTGAGATGTAGCTCATGGATAGAGTGAATGTTTCACAAATATAAGGCCCTGGGTTAATCCCTAGCCACACTGAAAATAAAAATTAAAAATAAAAATGTTAGTTGCTATACAAATCAGTTTAAACAAGTTTTGTATTACAGGCTCATAAAGGTATTATTTAACAGAGATAAACCCTGTGTGCCTGTGTGTGTGTGTGTGTGTGTGTGTGTGTGTGTGTTCCTGTTAATGAGGAAAGGCTAAAGGAAAGTATCACACACTGGGCATTACTGTATACCACACAGTGAACCATTACTAAGTTAGTGCTCTCAACGTCTCTGAGATAAATGTTTTTAAGATCATACACAGATGAAGAAACCGAGGCTGCTGGATTGAAATAGCAGAACAGTGCCACACCACTAGCAAGTGGCAGAAAGGTATTTAGAATTAGCTGATCAGGGTAGAGAAGAAAGCCTAAGGCCACGCCCATGTTTGGAAAATGAAATGAATCTACCCACAGAAAAAAAAATTTTTTCAAAAACCAATGCAATCATTTCCCGATTGCTTTTTTTATTAATCTCAATAATTCTTTTGCTTTACTTATCTAAAAATGAAATGGGACAATTACCTCCCAATCTGGGAAAGTATAATGTTCTGTGAATTTTTATCTCAATTTATATAACAACCCTTTGGAAACCAGTTAAGTGCCAGAATCACTTAAGTGTTTGGGTGGGAAATTTAAAAATAAAGTAAACTAAATAAAGAACTTTTGAAGTGAACAGAAAAAAGTAACACATTTTTAGTTAAAAAACACTAGGAGACTTAACTAACTACGAAGGTAAAAGGTTAAAGATTTAAACTAAGAAAAGAATGAGGTCCTTCAAATCAAGTCCAGCAAGGTGGTGCATCCCTGAGGACCACGGCTAGTTTGAGGCCAGCCTGGGATACACAGGTAGTGAGTTCAAAGCCAGCCTGGACTATGTAGTGAGACCCTGTTTCAAAACACCAATAAAAAATAAAAAAGGAGAAAGTTAAAATCAACACCAAGATACTTCATTTAACCTTAATTTTATCCCTGTCTTGTTTTTTACGTATTTTTTTTTTTAAAAAAACTCATTAATGGCCCCAGTCTTCTAGCCTAACTCCCAATTTCCTCTTATTCCTCCTTGTAAAGCTTGTTCGTTTTCACCTTTATTTTTCTGATCAGACCCTAAGTGAGTGACAATTTAAAAAAAAAAACTAAAACAAAACACAGATTTAAAATTATATTTTCCATCACCTTAATTGGTAAAAATTCATTTTTTAAATTAACATAAGCCTCATAATTTACTAACATTTCATGCGACCTTATTTTTGTGAGTTTCATTTTCATTGCCTTCTATATTTGTCATTGCCAAACCCTAACACTCCCAAATCCTAAAAGAGATTACATGATCAAAAAATAGTCTTATCCAGAAATTTAAATTTATGAGTACTATCAGAGGAGTTCCCAAGTTTCTAAATCGCTTGTACTGATTCTGGCTTCTTTTGCTTGCTCTAAGTCTGCATCTGTTTTTGTAACAAAAGGATATATAAAGAAACTTGCATACATTGCTCATCTGGAGCTGACAGCTTATGAGGCGGAGCTAAATGTAGAATTTTCTCTCACTTCAAAGGGCATATTGCAGGGTGCAAAGGAAGAGGGGCTTGGGTCCTTGCTGCCCACACTGCCCTCTGGCCAGCGGTCTCAGGTCCCTGGGGACAGAAGAGGGCAAACTCTGGCCTTTGTTGCTCTAGGTAACATTTCCCACAACCCCTAGTTCATAAATATTGACATCGGGGAAAAATAAGACCAAAAAAAAGAGAAAAAAGGGATTTTGCCAAAAAGAAAAGTTGCTTCTAAGTTGAAATGTTTTTGTATCAGAGAGCCTAATTTATATCTGATATCACTATGATTTTTAAATAAAATATACTGTCATTGAGATTTTTAATGCTATTATTCATCAAACACTAGGTAATACAGGAAACAAAACTTTCAGCAGAGCTTTATTAATCTAATTTTTTTCTACAGCAACAGAAAAATATTTTTAAGTAACAAGAGAGAATTAAAGGCAATTTTTCTTAAAAATATACCAACACTCTTGCCTAATGTTTTGCTGAATACTCAAATTTGAATACTCAAATCACAGTGAATCTGGAATTATTTACTTTCAGCAAAATATTTTTAAATTTTCTTTTTCCACATTTGGCTCCACTCCTTGGCTTCAAAAAACGCAGGAATAATACGGTCACTAAAACCTTTGAAAATGGGCAATATTGTTTCCATTGTGGAACTACAGCACATCCTGGTGGTCATGGCTGTTATTGCCAGGGCTTACAGTTCTACAAAAATCAAGAAAAGAGCCTTGTTTTTAGGCTTTTTGAAAATAAATTACCAGGAAAGAAATAGTGATACAACTCTTTTAGCATCAAATCACAAACAGAACTTTTCAAAGTTTATCAATATGATATTTTAAAATATTATTTTGGTAAGATAACTGATGAGTCAGTTGTTACATCAACCTATAGAATTTTTAACATTGCTATATTTTCAGAGTAATCCGCTTCCTATGACTTTTACAGTCTTCTAAATGATGTTTTTAAAGCATGTAAGGAGAAAAACCTTGATCAATGCCGCAAGAAAGTAAACCAAGCAGCCTATTGGCCCCAGGAGGAATCTTTTTTTCCTTTGTGCCATGGATATAAAGGAAAAATAAAAATGTACTTGTCATGAGAATTTTCCCTAGCCTTCACATTCTAGCTAACAACTACTCAGTTAATTAAAATAATTTCCTTTTTTTCCTTCAATTCTTTTATTGGTACATTTTAGGTATACAATGTTTATATTTATCATTGGGTACTTGTACCTGTACATGATGTATCTTGGTTCTTATTTTTTCCCTGTTCCTGTCCTCCCTTCAACCCCTCCACCGTTCCCTATTTACAAACACTTTGTTTCCATTTTTTCCTTTTCTCATAATTTTTCCTTTCACTTCTTTCCTTTCTGCTACCCTAGCCACTTCCCCTACCCCTCTGGACCTTTTCTTCCTATTTCAAATTATCAATTATTCATTTTGATCATTATTTACACATTCAGTTTCTCACACCAGAGAAACTATTTGGTATTTACACATACATGTACTATTTATGTCACTTAAAAAATATGGCCTCATTATGCACCCATTTAGCTATAAATGACTCTAGTTTCTCATTCTTTATGGCTGAGTAGTACTCCATTTTATTAAAAAAAACCATATTTTCTTTATTCAGTTTCCAAATGATGGGCACTTGGGCTGTTTCCAAGCTTTTGCTATTACAAACTCTGCTGATACAAACATGGGTGCACATATATCACTGTGGTATGATTCTTTTCATTCTTTTGGAAAGATACCCAGCAGGGGAATAGCTGGGTTAAATGGGATCTCTAGTCCTAGTTCTTTGAGGTATCTCCATACTGACTTCCACAGTGGTTGCACCAGTCTGCACTCCCACCAACAATGGAGAAGGGTTCCTTTCTCCCCACCCCCCCGCCAGCATTTGTTATTG